CCCCAAAACCCCAAAACCCCAAAACCCCAAAACCCCGCGAGTAGAGATTCTAGATCGATTTTATCAAATAAAGGATAAAATTAAGTGAAAAAGTCCTTAATATCAAAGTAATCAAATCTAGATTTTAGGCCTTTTTAAATGTTCCTGGTGAATCATAAGTTATTCTTTGCTAAGCGTCCATATCTTCTTTTAAACTGCTAAGTAGATTATTCATCATCAATCATGAAATTACTATCTTTTAGGCTGACATTATCATTCTATTTCATGTCATCTTTATCCAAAGGCTAGATTATTTTAGATTTTGAACTATCAAGATTTGATGAGTCAACACCTTTCAGCCTTTCAAATAAAGTTTTTTTCTCATTTTACTCTTTTATCTCATCTTGAAAGTCTTTAAGTTTACGCTTAAAGACACCTCTTATCAAATTACTTTCAGTTTATTTCAATTTTTTACCCTCAAATGAGGCCATCATTTTTTTTAGTTTCCCGTAAGTGACAAGCCTAATTAAAGGATTCTCACTTTCCATTAGTTTAAAGGTATCTAGGTGGTTATCATCTGAGTCAGAAGATTCTGATGTAGTTTCTATCAAGTTTTACCTCTAAAATCTCAGTAACATTCTATGAGGTTAATTAAGTATCGCTTATGATAGTAATCTAAACTTTCTAAGTGTCTTTACAAGTTAAATAACATCTAATTCCATTTCAAGCTTTTCCTTACCTTTCTTAAACAAATAGTGCTCTTTGTAGACGTTGTTTAACTTTTTTTGTCTCAAACTTCTCCAGCAAAGGCATTTCATAACGAACCTTAAAATTTAATACGGATTGTAAGAGAATCGTCTTCTAGAAGTGAAAGATTGAAGTAAACTGTGCACATCATTTTTATCAATCTCCCGCATATCTTTAAATTTTTTGCTAAATTCCGTTTCATTCTTTTTAATATTGAAACAATTTCCAATACGACCTAATATAGCCTTTGAAATCATCGATGGCTTTTGACTACTAAAACCAACGTCTATATTTATCTGGTCATGGTGCAATTAACTTCGAGTGCCTGAGTCTACTTCTCCATCTACTATGTTTTCTGCTATTTTTAAAATTCCTAACGGATTCATCACTTATTTGGATTATCTTACCCTATCTAATGGCTAGTGCATTATCGGTTTATTTTCAATTTATTGAAGAGCTCCAAGCAAACCGTTTGAACTTTTGGTTTAAGGATAATTATTTTATGAACCAGGCTTATCTCTTGTAGAATTAGTCTTAGTATTTTAATTTTATGCAATACCTTTGAACTACTTATTTTAGGCTGGTTCTTATTCTTCATCTCTGTGCTTTCTTACCTGATATATCTTATTCATAACATCACAGAGAAACAGTTTATGTGCGATGGAACCAACAAATAAAATTCCAATCATGTATAAAGATCTATATAGTCCTCCTAGATCACCTAGTAGCTCTAAAACTGAATATACTTTTCTTCTATAGATGCTGTAGCTACTATCTAATCTTATATATAAGGCAATTACATAACCTTAATCATCTGAATATCCATCATCATAGGATTTTTAATTTACAATCTGGTGAAATTGCTTTTTCTTTTATTAGCCGAATTAAATATAGTCATCTTCCATAGTTGCCTCTTAAAGCTACAAGAACAAATTTTACTTTTTGATTCTATTGGCTTCTATTTCAACGAAAGAGGAATCATCAATAAAGTATTTAATTGCATCATATTTGGAGAAATCTGTAAAATCAAAGAACGTATTCACATAGGCAAAGTTGAACTTTTCTTTTTCTAAGATCTAATCTATGAGCTATTTATCTTAACATTTTAACTATCCATTTTAAGAGTAAATTGTACTATTTATAGTGTTATTTTGGCATTTCCAGAGTTTAATTTCGAGATAGTCAAAATCATTGGAGTATATGTCTCCTTTAAATTAGTAATCCTTCTCAGTTATGCAATAAAGGTCAGTTATACCATTATAGACAATTTCTGTAACATTTTGATAGTTAAAATACTTAGTAGAGCATTTATCAAACGAGATCTCTCTAAACTTTTCCACTTTAATCTTTGATCCGTCCTAATCATATTAGCCTCGGAATTCCAGATTAATTTATCTAACAGTGAAATAAGCTATACTAGGATCAATATTATGGTTAAGTCCAAAGGCGAAATCAAAGCCTAATTCCCAAGGCTTAAAGTGAAATCCATTTGACATATCTCTCATTAGGTTAATCTTGGTCACATCCATGTTAACTCTGTTGATTAGATTTTGTCCTTTGAAAAAACCAAAGCTTACAATAATCAGAATAATCATCATTGATATTATAGATCCTAACGTTGTTTTAAAAGTTTCTTCACCCTTAAATGTCAGTTAAACAACCTAGCCAAATTGATCGAAATCCTTGAACCGCCTTGAAGCATTCTCACATCTTGTTTCTCTTGGCTTAATATTCGCAAGTTTCTATTAAAAGACATGAATCTTTAAAAAATTACGACTGGTTTTTTAGGTTATCGCATGATTAAATATTCTTAAATCTATTCAAAATTTATAAAAGTCCTTCTTCTAATATTACTTCAAATTGCTAATTTTATTTACTAATATATTTAAAGTTATTCTTTTTCGAATTTGTATTCCAATCAGATTTATGGGGTTTTGGGGTTTTGGGGTTTTGGGG